ATAATGTTCAATGTACTGATGAGAAAAATGTATATTCTGTAGTTCTGGAATGGAATGTTCTCTAGATGTCTGTTAGTTCCATTTGCTCTAGAGGCCAGTTTCATTCCCATGCTTCTTTGTTGACTTTCCGTCTTGAAGATCTAATGCTGTCAGTGGAGCTGCTGAAGTTATCCACTATTACTGTACTGCTATCTCTTTTAAGTTTCTAGTAGAATTTGTTTTATAAAGCTGGGGCTCTGATGTTAGGCACATATATATTTGAAATTGTTATGTCTTGTTGGATTGATCCCTTTATCATTATATCTAACAATCTTTGTCTTGTTTTTACTGTTAAAGTCTGTGTCATCTGATATGAGAATGGCTACTCCTACTCATTTTGGTTTCCATTTGCATGGAATATTCTTCCCCACCCTTTTACCTTGAGTCTATAGGAGACTTTGTGTGCTGTCAGTCTCTTGGAGGCAGCAGAGAGAAATATATTTATATATATATTCCAGTCTGCCAGTCTCTATAATTTTAGTGGGGCATTGAGACCATTTAGTAATGATATGTAAGGTACCATTCCATTCATCATGCTGGTTGTTATCTGGTTATTTATTTATTTTCTCCATTGTGTTGGTATTACTTATTTTCTCCATTGTGTTGGTATTATATGAGCTTCATGATTTCTAGTGATTTTCTACTGGTGTATTTCGATGATTCATTTCAGTATTTAGAACTCCTTTAAGTATTTATTTTAGAGCCAGTCTAATGGTGACAAAGTCTCCCAGTGTTGGCTTGTCTGAGAAATACTTCATTTCTCCTACAGTTATGAAACTTAGCTTTGGGGGATACACAATCCTTGGCTGTTATTCTGTTTGAGGAGATTGGTGATGAGGCCCTGATCCCTTATGGCTTATAGGGCTTCTTCTGAGAAGTGTGCTGTTAGTCTTATAGGTTTGCTTCTGTAAGTTATTTGATGCTTTTATCTCACTGCTCTTAAAATTTTTTTCCTTCACACTATCTTTGCATAATTAGATGACCATATGCCTTGGGGACGACCTTTTCATAAATAATCTCCTGGGGGGTTCTTTGGGATTCTTGAATTTGGATGTTTAAATCTCTGGTCAGGGAAGTTTTCCTCCATTATTCCCTCAAATAGGTTTTCCAAACCTGTTGCTTTCTCTTCTTCCTCAGGAACACCTATGATTCTTAAGCTTGGGTGTTTTACATACTCAATCCCACATTTCTTTGAGATTTTGTTCCCTTCTCTTGATTCTTCATTATTGTCTGCTTGGGTTAATCCAAAAACTTTGTCTTCGAGTTCCAAGATTCTTACTTCTGCTTGTTCTAGTCTACTGTTAGAATTTATCCACTGCATTTTGTACTTCCCTGAATGATTCTTTCATTTTTGGAATTTCACCTTGGGTTTTTTTTTTAAGGTATCTCTTTGGAGAATTTTTCATCCTTCTCCTGAATATTTTTCTAAAAACTTATTTATGTTGGTTTTCAATTTTCTCCTGAAGTTCATTATAAATCTTATAAAGAACCTTTTAAACTCTGTGCCTGGAATTTAAAAGATTTCATTTTGGTTGGGGACCATTGCTGAAGAGTTAGTGTGGTCTTTTGGGGGTGTTGGAAAACTTTTTTTTTTTCGTATTGTCAGTATTATTTTTCTGGTTCCTTCTCATTTGCGTATGCTATTTCTTCTTATTTGAGTTTGCCAGGGGACAAGAGTTCCCTTGGTTATATATAGTCTTGCTGTGGCGAGTTTCTCAATTGTCAGCCGTGGCAGTCCTGTGCTGGGTACCTGCACTGGCTTATGGCATCCTGAGTGCTGGAATGGCTTAGAAAGTGGTGTTAGCTAGGGTCTGGGATCAGGCCTTCCACATAGCTGATGAGTTTTATCCAATGTGGTGGGTTGTGCTGTTGACCTTTGGCCAGGAGGTGGCATCTGTAGAAGAAAGCCAGCTGTAGTGGTGTCTGCGAAGTTTCTCCTTGGAGAGTGTTGCTCCAAGAAAGTGCCCAGTCAACCTGAGCGAAGGACAGGGCTCTGGGGATTCCCGGACTTCTCTGTTTTGAGCTTTCAAGGGAAGTACTTAGAGAAAGCAGCTCGAGCACCTCTCAAGCTGGCACTCTTGGCTACCACAGCGTGGATTAGTAAGGAGTCCACATCACTGGGGTAATGCTGTTTTGCAGGACAGGCACAGAAGAGTTTACACAAGAAAAGAGAAATTGCTAAGGCAATGTGTCCCACACAGCTTCCGCCTTGGCCCCGGGCTGTTTGCCTTTCGAATGTCAAAGTGAAGCCAGCCGGGGAGACACCCTTTATCAACAAGGGTGCCTGAACGAAGCATATTTGTATACCTAACCCTTAACTGTACCCCACAATATCATAATAAAAAATATTGATTATAAAAAACAAAAAAACCAAAACAAACAAAAAAACCAAAGTGAAGCCAGCCTCAGGGCCTCAGATGTTCTTACAGCAGCCAGCTCCAGCCAGGAACTGTCTGCCACTGAGGAAGGTTTGCCCTTGGGGCCTGTCCCCTCCTAGGTCAGCTAGAAAGCAGCCACTCAAGGGTTGAGTTGCTGGGATATGGCAGTTGGGGCTGCACCACTCCATGTGGGTTTTAGCAGGGTCCGGCTGTGGGTAAGGCAGTCTCCTGTGAGCGACTGGAGTCCTGCGAGGCTCAGGGGATCCTCCAAGTCCACAACAGAAGCACAGAGCTCCTGAATTTCCCTCACTGACCTTCCCCACTGCCTCTGGAGGCTACTAGTGGTCTGTGATGCTCCAGGCGAGAGTCTAGCTAGTGTCATCACAGATCAATAGTTTTTTTTTCTCTTCTTTGCCCTATGTGGTTATTATCATTTTTTGATGAGTCGTGGGGCATGCTGCTGGTCTTGTTCCTCTCTGGGTGCTGAGGAAACTCTATTTTGGTTTACTCTGGAGGAGAAACACACTCTAGCATAATCAAGATGTGGAATGGTTGTAAAACAGGATGTAGAATCACTCCAAAATTTCCTCATGCCCCTCCGCAATCAACTCCTTCCTGATCCCTAGGAATCCATTAATCCAGCCAAGTCTTTGGAGTGAGTCTGCGTATGTGAGATGAGGCCCCAAGTCATAGTGATTATAAGGAAGGGATGGAATCAGCTCATTTCCCTCTAGGTCCTTCATGCCATGTCACCTGGGTCTCTGTGGAAGAGGACTGGAATGAGGGGGCCTCGGAGTGTCACTTCTTGTGTTGGTAGAGTCATTCTGCACAGTCTCTGGGAGATGGCCTCAGAGGTCCCTCTGAGGCCACCACTACAAATAGTAGTGTTTTCCCCCATCTTGCCTTCCTGTCCAAAGAAGAGGAAGCTAAAAACTTTCCCCACCTTCCCACCAGCCTGCAAAGACTGGGAGAAATATGTTTTTGACATCACATTCTTCTCTCCTCCCTTCCTCTAGCAGGAGGTCATGGAGAAAATAATGCTGAATGTTCAAGCCACTGCCACTCCCCTCACCAAACATATTGGTGACCAACACCATGTAAGATCTACTCCCTGCTGCAGGGCAGTGGCTTTGGTCCCTTTCTGGTAGAGCTGCAGCCTAACTGAGAGTAAGTAATAGTTGTGGCAGGAGAGGGGAGAATCTTCTACAGCTGAAACAACCCTGAGGATCCATGCCTTGGTTGAGGCAAGCAGTGGGGCTTCAGACAGTTGGGTGTAGCGTTCTCTTACAGAAAGAATAAATAATAGAGAGTGGACGAGAGGAAAGTACAGAGCCTGAAGAGAGGAAAGAAACAGATGAGGGGTGAGAGGAAAAAAGTAGGGAAAGAGTTACAAAAGGGAAGTAGGAAATGCCCCTTCTGTCTCTGGTTCCAGATGTAAAGCTTTTCTTATATCCTAGCTAGTGTGACGCTAGGCTTTGAGGCGTTTTTACCTCTGCTGAGTTTTTGTTAAATGAGTACCACACTGGAACTTGCTCTGCTTATTAACAAAGAAATGGCTTCATCGAGCTTGGGAAAGGAGGAACATGGCAGCTCCCACTTTCTCCCTATTCTTGCTGCAGGACTCGAAGGGCCACAGGTAGATCTTTGCATTTTAAATGTGAGCACTTCTGAGAAGCATATACCAGATTCAGAGAAATGTACTAACATGAAAAGGATACATATATTTTTAAATTCACTAACTGATGACATATATTTTAAATTTTGGTTACTTAAATTACACATAAAAGGTAGGAACATTTTGAACTAAAAGGAAGAGCTGAATGAGGGTATGGGTTTCAAGAAAAAAGATCCCATGGTAACCACAAGGCACCTGGTATTCCTGAACCTATACAATCCAAATAAATTCTAATCAGTATAGGATTTGCTTATTATACCATTTCTTTTTATTGTGAAAGATGCTTAGCAAAGACCAATGATGTCAGGTAGAAATACAAACATTTGACCCAACTGACCAAAAATGTCAGAAAAAGGGCACAGCATGTTTTAGACAAATCCAGCTTTTCAAAGTTTATGGGTGCTGCAGAAATGGGTGATTCCTCATGCTTCAGAAAATGTTGCCTGGAGTCCTATAAATGGCAGTCTCTCACTGCGCATTCCACAAGCACTCAAGTTCCCAAAATAGGTTTCTATATAAACTCTTCAGGAACACTTCTGCTGTGAAAATAAGATGTTTGTAGCATTGGGACTCCAAACAAAGCATGAAGAGGAAGATACACTTAAAATTGTTGATCAAAGATGGACAATTCTTCCACATAAGGAAAAGATGGCTAGAGCCACTTTACAATTGGGTTCTGACTTAAAGATCGAGGATCTTAAAAAAATGCAACCACTTGCATTTCTTGCTAAGAATAAACCAGAAGGAGTTTAATTTGAAGGAAATGCTATGGTAGCTGTGATTAGGTTTCAGGTCCAATAACTGAGGTGCCCAATTCCATGTGAGATGAGAGAGCCTCATTAAAAAATGGCAGAGGAGGAGGCAGTAGGACCAGTACCAATTACTGTCCTTTGAGAACCGACGTGGTTGCTTTCCTGTGCATTGAAGATTTTGATTAGACATTTATTCTTCTTCACGGATGCTTCACTTGGCTGTGACTAACTGTAGACCTTGACAAAAAAAGCAAAAAGAAGAGCCAACAGAGCCACGCCCACAGATACCCTCAGGGCACAGTTGTGATGGAGCCTCTGCATGCGCAGCACCATTCTGGAACTTGCTGCACAACGTGGAGACGCAGCAGAGGTGTGGGACACTGCACTCAGGTGATTCTCACGCCTAGTTCTGAATTCCTATGAAGAAAGAAACAAAAAGTATTTTAAGATGCAGAGAAAGTCCTGTTTTGCTATCTGTTAAGCAATGGGTTCCTAGAAGGTGCAACCATTTACTTGAACCAAGCCACACCAGAACACACCCACCATGGACCAGATGGCCCCCAGGTAGATGTGAATAAATCCGTTCCCTTCCTTGAAGGGTCAGGCCCGGTTCATGACTTTCCAGACTATACATGACCCATATGAAACAGACAAACAGAGTCTATGGAAAATCAAGGCAGAATTCATAAAGGGTTGAATTTGTGTAGTCTGGGCTCACATCACAGATGTACTTAACGCTTATGGATGCAACCATATTTTCTCAGCAACCGAAGAATGACAGAGAAAAAAACATGGAAGCTATTTTATTCACAGATACTCCTAGGACTGAGATTCCTAGCTGGTCTGTTGCTACAGGAGGGCTGCTCCCACCCTCAGGGGACACGGACGGGTCTGAGTGATGAGAGGGACCCACCCACATGCAGGCCCCTCAATTTACCCTGATGTGCCATATGAATACTATTGAGACAGGAATTAAGCAGAACTAGTTTCCTAAGATAAACAACAACATTAATTTCTCGGGGCAGGTGACTGAGACAGTTCCTCTAGACAGGTGAATAGCCTGGTTTTCTAAGCTTCCATAGAGAAAAACAGGATGTGGTAAAGAACTGGTTATAGCCAGCTAGAACCAAGATGGCAACTCATTTGCCCACTACATGACCTTGGTTTTCATTATATGCTCATTATGATACATTAGCATGCTAAGTGACACACTCTCTAGTACCATGACAGTTCCGACTCTGCCCATTTACAGTAATAAACTGGGTGGACCCCAGCTCTTAAGATATTTCCTCCGCTTTCCCAGGAAACCCATAAATATTCTATCCCTTGCTTAGCATATAGTCAAGAGATAACTATAAAAACAAAACCCTGGTGATGTACAGCTGCTATTCTTCCTATAGATCAGCCCAGATGCTCTGCCTATGGAGTAGCCTGCTCTCTGTCATCTCAATAAATTTGCTTTCATTTTCCAACTGAAACTCCAGTATGGGGGTAGCCCTGCCTACAGAGTAACTCTTTCCTTTTAATAAACTTACTTTCACTTTCCTTGGGTGGCTCACTCTTGAATTCTTTCCTGTAAAAACTCAAGAACCCACTTGGCCTCTCAGGCTGGATCCCAACTTTGGGGTCCCCCCTCCTGTGCCACTATCATTTTCTTGGCATGCCAGACACAGAAAAGTTTGGAAAATTTTGCTTGGAGAGAACTCAAGCAGCTAGGGGACCCAACTGTGCTGCTTTTTAGGTGGTCTCTGTTCTGGGGCCTTCTGAGCTGGTGTCCAGAGAAGTGGTGAAAGTTGGTGTTCTCAGGGTGGTTCTAGTGTTCCAAAGCACAGTGTGGTTCCATCATATGAGATCTTCACCATATGTACCTGCTTGGGAATCAGGGCCCCCCCATGTATGACGGGACTCCCTGTCGAATGAAACCTGAATAATATTCTGACAGGTGGGGGTGGGGAAAGGGCAGATGAGAAATACTGGATGGAAGGAATGATGAGCAGGGAGGAGGGGTAGCCCAGAGGCAGCACAGAATACAGCTTGTCTGTGGAAGAACAAAAAAGTATAAAATGTCTTTGAACAATTATTTTACATTGCTTAGTCTTCCCTTCCAGTCTCTCTAACCATCTCCTGCACACCTCAGGCTTTTGTGTGGGAAGCTGTATTTCCCCACACCCAGGAGAGGCTCTGGAATGAGGCTGTGCAGAAGGTAACAATAACAGGAATGTGCAGGCTGGACTGAGGGGTGGGGGGCCAATGGGGTAGAGGACCCGGTAGAAAGTTGTGGCATATGGCAACAGATGAGACAATGAGGATCTCTATCAGGACCATGGCCGAAGGGATGACAAGGAGGTAGCAACAGTCTTTTGATGTGGAGTCAACAGGATTTGAACTCAAGAGTGGATACAAAGAACAGGAATGTGAACATGAAAAACATTTGCTGCACAGGTTTCATGGGCTAATATTTACATGTGATTGTGTGGGAAAAATTCTTGCTTTGACTGTAGGAGACTAATTGCAAAATTAATAAAGCTGTTAGCCACAAGAATAAATCTCTCAACCCCAATGACAGTCAAACCATAATTTATTTCTGCGCTCCTCAAGTATCTGGGCCGATACCCTGCTGGTCTCCCTGCACTCTGAGGCCTTAACTAGGAGGCACACAGCTGGACAGAATGGAGCTGTCATCCTTCAAGCAGGGGAGACAATGGCAGGAGCTCAGTGGTACACCCAGACCACCCCCAGCCCCAGGTGACAGCTCTCTTATGGAACTGGCCTTTTGAGTGATATTTTGGAGCTGAGAATATGTTGACAAGCTTCCATTTGGATTGATTAAAAATAGTCTCAAGTTCTCAGGAACAGCACTCATACAAATATGACAACCTTGGGAAAGAATGCTGACATTATAGAATCTGTGTGAGTTCCTCAAAAGCAATAAGGAAGCCTAATTCATCTCTGAATTCCTGGAGCTGGGCATGGAACCCAGTAAGTAATTAGGAATGAGCGAACGAGCAACTGATTGAATAAATATGAGGGTGTGCGGTCCAGTGAGATATGAGGCCATCAAGAACATGCCCATCTATGTCTCTGGTGATCACTGTGTTCTGTACCGTATTCAGAACACTATTCTACAGGAGTCATAAATTGTTGCCTTTGATAATTAAACCATCACTTCCTAAGTTTGGTTTTACAAGAAAGGAATGAAGAGACTGATTAATTTCTCCTCGACCTGAGTTTTTAAAACTTTCTGATGGCTTTCAGAAGCCAGTGAAGACTACAGAAAACCATGGAGGCATCCATGTGCCATGCACACAGCCACACTCACACTCTGTTACTTCAGGAGGGTCACAGACACCCTCACCCAGGAGTGGTTCCAGATTTTGTGGGTCCTGAAGCCTTCTTATTAAGAAAAATAATGAATACAAAATTAGGTATAGGATCTTGGAAGGGGCTCCTCAAAGCGAGAGACTCTGAAACTTCAGTCCCTCTAGTTTCTGGGAAAACCCACCTGTTTCTAGCACAGAATGCTTCATCTTTGGCTCTGCACCTGCAATCCAAGAAGCTCCCACTCTATGATTAGTGTTTCCAGGCCAGGGTCAGGCTGACCTGGGAAAGACTGAGTCTTCAAGCTTTAAGCATTTGCTTGGGTTTATATTTTCATACATTCTGCTTCACAAACTACAGTACGGGTAATATGCCTTCTAGGCCTGAAACAAAACCAAAACACTAACTTTTGATGACAATTTCATAAAATTTCTTCCTCTCCTCCTTTCAATTCATTTTTCATAAAATTTTTCTCAAAATAGAAAAGTTACCTATTAAACTACCAGAGTGGATTATCTGTGGTCACACTCAACTTAGCCATTCTTCCTTGGACATTCATTTTTTTCCCTCTCCCTCCATAAACATTGAACACATTTGAACATAACTGACCCATAAAAAATATTTTGGTGCTGAGCTTCCCTCCTGTTCTCAGTGGACAAGTCTGTCACCCAGAATTCTATGGAAAAGTAACATTGCACACACAGTCACAAAAAACCCACCAGACCTGCCATACTCTAGAAGATCAAGGTGCAAGCTTGACTGTTGTTGACTGAGCAGGGGAGGTAACATGTAGACTGTCTCTCTTGCACTGTGTTTCTTTTATTATTTTCACCTTTTACCAAGTCAAGAACTTGACTGAAGGATTTTGATACTATTTTTTAAATGTAAGATTGAAAAAAATGCTTCTCAGATGACAGAGTAATCTAGCCAGCTAGTTTTGTACATTTCAATTGTCACTATCACTGTGACACTAAAGGAGAAGAAATTTAGAAATATGGGAAATACGAAGTCTTTCTCAGAAAATACAAGATGCTCAAACAGGTAAATGTATGACCACAGAAGATTTCTACACAGTTAGAAGTATGATTCATGAGCAGAAAACAATATAGCATTTCTATAATGTACTAAAAAGTGCTTATAAGTTACTTGATTATAAATCACCAACAGAAAAAGTTGATACATAACACACATAGTTCTGAAAAGTCGACAGAAGGCTCAAACCTTCCCCACACCTTATAAATATTATCCAGGTTACTAGTTCCTGAAATTTAAGATGCATTAGAACTTTAGGAATTAAAAATAGTCTCACGTTCTCAGGAACAGCACTCATACAAATATGACAATCTTGGGAAAGAATGTAGACATGATAGAATCTGTGTGAGTTCCTCAAAAGCAGTGAGGAAGCCTAATTCATCTCCGAATGAATTTCAACCAGTTAAAGATAAATAATGTTGGGATGGTAGCAACAGTCTATCTCTATTTTTCTCCTTTTCTAGCAGTTATACATGTATAAAATACATAAACTCAATATATACATGTATTGGGGAAAGGAAAGAGATGCTTTTTACTTGAGTATATTTAATGCCACGAGGCACAGATGGGACCAGTTCTAGGAGCAGTAAGTGGTTAAGCTCTGGGCCCCAATCCCAGCTCCACTTCAGGATTCGCAGGCAAATTATTTATCCTCTTTTTACCTCCATTTTTTCACCTGTAAAATGGACATAATGTTAGTATTTGTGCATCATTAGGTCGTTATGAGGATTAAATGTTATATATATAGTATATATATTAAATGTCCTGAACATCTAAAAGTCATTTAAGATGAACATATTCCACGGGATTTTGTGATTCTAGTGAAAAATGTAAACAGCCTCAGGTATTGTTTTTGTAAAATTACAAAGTCATTATTTTAATTGCTCCTCAAACATGATGCACCGACTCAATGCTATTTTTGTTCCTTATGCTTATCAGGAAGAGGCACACAGTATCCTGAATGAGCTCGGGTTTAGAATTCTGGTAGACCGGGAACTGACTCCAAGTTCAGACAGCCATGTGATCTCAGGCAAGTGGTTAAGCTAAGACTAGTTACCTCTTCAGCG